GATGCTGGGGGCAGGAGCCAGGGGCCAGCAGGGTTGGGGGGAGCGTTCATCAAATGGGCTGCCAGGTCTTGTCAATGGTCTGAATGTGCTCCTTGGCTTTCATGCGGAGCGAGGCGATGCTGGAGCTCCTCTGGTCCACCTCCTCCAGCGGGTACTTGTCCACAAAGGTGGTGCTGCACTGGTAGGGTGTGGGGGCCATGGGCTGCATGCCCTGTGCCATCGGTGGGGGGCTGTTGAGGAAGGAGTGCCCGCCGTAGGGGGGCTGCAGGGCCTGGGGGGCTCCCATGAAGCCAGGGATGCTGTGGACCCTGGTGGCGCTGGAGATGGGGGACGTCAGCCAGGGGTCGAGCGGGAGGGAGTTGCTCATGGGCCCCACGTTGGGTGTCATGGGGGGCCGGTTGAAGGAGAGCACGGGGGTGTCGTGGAGCTTCATGGAGCTGGCCTCCATCTTCTCCTGCCGTCTCCACTTGGCTCGACGGTTCTGGAACCAGACCTGCGAGGTGAGAGCCAGGGTGAGCCCCACCATGCCCAGCTGGTCCCTCGCAGGGTGCCTCCCACGCTGTGCCCTGGGGGGTGCCCCATGTGCTGTGCCCCATGCAGGGTGCCCTGTTGTGCTGTACCCCACACAGGGTGCCCCACACGGAGAGCTCCGGGTGGAGTGTCCCGTATGGGGCATCCCATCCCTCATGGGGTCCCTCACGACCCTGTGTGCTGGGTCTCGTGTGGGCTCCAGCAATCCACAGCCCACCGCACACCTCTGCTGAGCCTCTCCCACAGGCTCCAGAGACCGAGGGCACCTCCGAGGTGTGGAAAGTGAGAGGAGTCACTGCACAGCCCCTGCCCCTGCTGCTCCACAGGACTGTGCACCCCAGCCCCACAAACACCTGTATGGTCCTTGGTATAACGTCGTCTGGCTTTCCAAGGCTCCTTGATAATAACTTCTAGAAGCCAAGTTGCCACAGCAACACCAAACCCCACAGGAACGAGAAGGACCAGTGAGCCAAGGCCAGCGGTGACATCTTGCCCCACGGGAGCTGCTCTCCAGAGCTCTGGTCCCCTGAACCCCACTTGGGCTGTGAGGTGGGTGTCTCCCATGGGCTGCTCAGCTGTGGGTGGACATGGACTACACTGGTACAAACTTTGTGTCCGAAAAGCAACGAAGCTGGGGAAGGGTGTAGAGCCCAAGTGTGGGGAGGAGCAGCTGAGGGAGCTGGGGGTGCTGAGCCTGGAGCAAAGGAGGCTCAGGGGAGACCTTCTGGCTCTGCACAGCTCCGGACAGGAGCCTGGAGCCAGGGGGGGGGCGGGCTTTGCTCCCAAGGAACAAGGGACAGGACAAGAGGAAATGGCCTCAAGTTGCACCAGGGAAGGTTTGGATTGGATATTAGGAAAAACATCTTCCCCTGGAGGGTTGCCCAGGGCTGTGCCAGGCTGCCCAGGGCAGTGGTGGAGTCCCCCCCCCTGGAGGGGTTTCCAAGCCGTGGAGATGTGGGGTGAGGGACACGGGGCAGTGGGGACCTGGCAGTGCTGGGGGTGGTTGGACTCCATGATCTCAGAGGTCTTTTACAATCTAAGTGATCCTGTAATTCTGTGAAGCTGCTCGTGGCTCAGAGAGGTTGGCAGAGGTTTGTGTCCCTGTGATCTGGACCTCCCCAGAAAATGGCTGCGCTGCGTTGCCCTGGACTGGGTCTGAGGCCGGGGAAACTCAGATCATTTGTAGAGGGGTTACTGATTTTGAGTTTGTCACTTCTTTAACTCCCTGACCCTTTCCCTCTCCCCGGCCTCGCCCAGTCAATCCCAGGGCTGGTGGTGAGCAGACTGGTGGGACCCCAGGCTCTTCTCCAGGCTGTGCCATCCCCTGCAGAGCCTTCTCCTACAGCCCAGGGAGTAAAACCTCCCCAGCCCCGCCCATGGCCATAACCATCCCACTCTGGTAATCCTAAAACCCCCAAATCCATCAGGCTCTTGTGCCTTCCTAGCCCTAAAGACCTGGAAGTGGCCATGAGTGGCTG